GCCATCACCAGGGTCATGGCTACAAGCAGTTTGGAACCCAACTTGGTGAAATCTGGTGTTTGGATGGTTGCACATTTTTCCTAGGAGATGGATTGAGTTCAGGCAGTCAGGAGGTGTTTAATGAGTACCTAGGACAAGTTTAAGCCAGAATATATATCAAGGTTCAAGCAGGAACTTCAATTATACACAAGATCAACTGGACCTGATTCCATTGATATTGGCCTTCATGGTCAGTTCCATGTTCCATAGACATTGGAAATGAGTTGTCCCTGAAATTCTGGTCCAGAAAATGTATAAAACCTTCTCAATTGGTGGAGATTTACATGAGTACTGGTGCAGACTCGAGTGAAACTTGAGTAACATACGGGTACCTTGCTACCAGTGCCGGGTTCATCATACATTGTGCATATCTCAGCAACCAAGCACACAGGTCATGTAAAATTAGATATATTCGGAATCCCCTCAGCCAGGAGAGTTCATTTGGGCATGCCATCAGCCCTTTTGAGCAACACACAGAGCCAGAATCCCTGCATCACTCCTCAGATCACCCCCTTTGACTGAGTGGTATTCCATACCCAGAAGAGGGATCCCAGCATCCAGAGATCACAAATGCATCCATATGAGTTTCATGACCTGAATTCAACACCAACTAACACCCCTCACCCATCTAAATGTGCCTGTATTTCCCCAAGCTGAATTTGAGTACATTGAGCCTTCAGACACAAGGGTGACCTTAGAATTGGATGATTTCCTATGACTTTAGTGCCAAACTAAATTTCAAAGCCCTTTGCAGCACTCCCTTCCAGCATTAATAAAGCTCTGGCTGGGAATTGATTTCCCATCAGGCAAGGCCTTTGAGAAGCCTAGGATGCCAGATGTGACAGAGACCAAGTGAATAGACAGTCTTGGGGTTATATCCAACATATATGAACTGTTTACTAGCACAGGGAGTACTAAACATTCACAGGATCACAGAGAGTTGTTGTGCACGGAAACCATTGATTTATCAGGCTGGTTCAACTGCCAGAGGGGTTGTCAACAGTGGAAGGGTATACTATAGTCCATGGGGAAGGTATTAGAATCTTAGTTGCCAGCCAGATTGGCCCAGAACTTATGCCATAGGCAAAACTTCCTATTTGGGGTGCTAGGAGTAGGGCTCCCAATTGGGAAGCAGCATCAAACCAGTGTGATTGCATGCTCTGAGGGGCACACACTGAGATATGAAGTTGACATTGGCATACTACACTATTATACTGAGCAGAAGAGCAAGGTAAGTGGTGCTTATTTCAAAAAAGGAAGGCAAAGGCCGACAAGAAGAATTGAACCTGTGACCTTGTGGCAAAAAGGGAGAGGACAGGGAGACAGGTAGACTAGTTGAAACATATGGGTGCTTGGATTAGGGCCTCCATCACCACGCGAAGGCATTCATTGAATCAATCACCAGCACCCATTGATCACAAAGCCATCATCACCAAGATAGATTCTTGATCATTTCTTTGTTTCTGAGAGAGCAAATGAATCTTAGCTACAACATTATAGGAGAGTCTTGTAGCCCTTGATCTGCTCTACAATTTCGTTTTTTTTGATGCTATCAATCACTGTGATGCTGATATCACAGTTGATCTTTGATTTGGAAATTTTCACTTTTTTCATCAGTAATTGATCTGGCCATCAATTTCTGATGGCGGGAGGGCGGGCTTCGGGAGGGCGGGCCAAATCACATGACCTCACCCACCACAGAATTGCATCAAGTCCCCTGCAGCAGGACTTGGAGAAGGTCGAAAGCATATCGGAAGCATAAACGAAAGCATGCGCGAGATTGCAGCAACCAGGCTACTTAGCCTGGTACCACGCATACAGGTACCAGGCCAATTAGCTTGGCTATGTGGAAGGTACAGGTGCAGCCGACAGTGACAGCTCACACTCTTCTGGACCCACGCCAGCCTCCGTCGCACCAGTTCCGACTACCCCCGTTCCAATAGCAACGACGGTCGCATCCAAACCGGCACCTGCAACTGCAGGCGCACCCAAGCCCGCAACTGCAGCAGTCGCATCCAAAGCCGCACCCAAAAGCAAATACAAACCTAACCAGAACAGCACAACAGCCCGGTGCGTCCCTCCGCTGACATGATGAGTGTTTGCTGATTACATTCGTTTAGAGGCTTGTGCGCAATTCAGTGGTCCAAGGAAAACGAAGGAGACGGCAGTGATTACAGTGCTTACTGGAACGGCCTCGGAGAGGCAGGCCAGGCGGTGTGTATTTTTTTTCAGCACTTTCACGAACTTATGCGGTTGGCAGATCTGGAAAGAACGCGAGAGGAAGGTCAAGGAAGCTGCTGCGGCGGTATGTATCTGGTCTTCTCAGGGACTGCCTCTTATTCTTCATTCACAGGCTCTAGCTGCTTAGATCGTCGGGACGCGAGGAGAAAGGATCGGGAGCTGGATTCGGGAGGCGGTCGTTACGAGGAAGAGGCGGAGAGGCGGTGGATGTGCGCGTGCGAGAAGCCATAGTCGCGGTGGGAGCGGGTGGGAGTGGTCAGCAGGAAACGAGCAAGCGCAGCAGGGAACGAGCAAGCGCAGCAGGGAACGAGCAAGCGCAGCAGGGAACGAGCAAGCGCAGCCGGGAACGAGCAAGCGGGGGCGAGCAAGCGCAGGGAGCAAGAGCGGACGGGGCAGCTACCGATAATAAATGCAATAAATATTATTCAAAAAGCGAATATTCTACAGATGGAACGAGAATCCCAGATACGGCCAGAGAAAGCGCTGAATTCCTAACGCTGGGTCTGGCCATATCTGGGATTTCAGTAGAATCCGATACGGCACGATTTCCCCAGATTTTCCCATATATGGCCAGACGGACTTTTCACTGGGTCTGAAGTTCCAACATGTCGAATGCGCCGATCTACTCGTAAGTTCCAGATCAAGTGCCAAGCTGTTGAAACTAGGATACTGAACAGTCTATCTTTCTGTGGCATAGATTTTCCATTCTGTTTGAATTTCACCAGATTGTTGCCTAAAACTAGACAGCTGGCCAATCAGTGTATTTCATGTGCCATAGTTGTTCCGTCAGGCCCCAAATCAATTTACGCTCAGGTGCCTCACACTCAAGTGCTATGTGCTCCAGGCTCTCGGGCACTCTACATATTGGGCATTCACCTCTGATTCAAAAAAAATCTCTCACAACTTTGTGACTCAGGACGTTGAGGTGACAGCCCGGGCCGGAAAAACCTGCCACGCGGAGACCTGCCACCCAGGAGGGCACTGTGAGGGCACCGTAAGGCACCGAACTTTCGGTGTCTAACAGATTGCCCGCGGTGCGCATCAAACAGAAGACCAAGAGGCTCGACACGGTCAAGGACGCATACAAGTTGAAGTTCTACTTCAACATAGTCGCCGACCTTTGTCGTCCAGTCCCCCATCCTCTACGACGCGCTTTTTATGACGCGGGCGGTCATGACCCGCGCGTTTGTCGCCGTTCCCGCGTTTGCCGCAGTTCCGACAGCGGTGGACATTGACAAGCACGTCCATGAAACCGGGGTAGACAGCCTGTTGTCCTCGTCCATCAACTTCTTCTACCACTATCTCGAAGGCGACAACTACCTTGCGGTCTTGCATGCGATCAAGGCGGGCTTCCTACACGCGTTTATCGAGTGTCCGACTGGAATAGGGCGGCTGGAGAAACAGGCTACTGCGAGGGCCATGCATATTGTGCATAAGGTCCTTCCGCCCTACCTCGTATACCGTTCGATCTTCGAGGCGGTCCTCCCTACCATAGAGGCGTTGGAATCCTACTCGCGCCTCAGGAAGTACCTGGAGACTAGTCCCGTGCTTGCAGCAGCCCTTGTGCCCCTCCTTACCTTTGGAAAAAGGCGGCAGTGTGCGCTGCAGTACGAGGAAGAAGCAGGATCGCTTCGCGGTTGCGGAAACTTTGAACAAGTGCGTGCGGCTACTCCTCTTTTCCGATCATACACTCACCTTGTTCTTAGTGCCGACGTGTCGACCGGACCAGGAGTTTCAAGTCGTGCAAGGCCTGCCAATGGTGTATTACTGTTCCTCAGAGTGCCAGAGGGTCGACTGGAAATCCAGACATCGCAAGTGGTGCAAGCTTAAACCAGTGGGTAAGAAATTCGATTGCGCCATGGTCATAATAATCCAACAACTCCACACACAGGCCGTCGTACGAGAATAGATCAGCAAAGCATTCACCACCTCGCGCAGTGGTGTGCCACCGAGAACGTTGCCAAGCTGCGCGACGCGATCAAGAGCGGCTTTCCGGACACGCCGATCGAAAAGGTCGTACTGTGCATCGACTTTACTCACCTTCCCGAGACGTACAGTGCCACCCTAGATGCTGGAGCTCCGGATGAGCGACGAAGCGAGCTCGAGGAAGGATGCCGCGCGCGAGGGTGTCCGCTGATGTAAACCACCACGATGAACGGGGTTACAGTCGACGCATTGTACATGTCTGCTGTGGCGGGCAACCAGTGGGTGAAACTGCCCGAGTTATCGGCGGTTGAAGGAATCTAAAATCTAACACACGTATTAGTTCAAACAATGAGAAATTAATAGACCCACACGCCTTGTAATTATAAAAAGACGGGGCCCATACCAGCAGGGTCACACACGGTGTCGCCTTTCGCTATAAAGATGGGAAGTTCATGTGGTCACTTCTGAACATGTTTCTGCTGGCCACTCTCTGTGCTCTCTTTGCTCTCTTGGCCGTTGTTCCTGTCTACGCCACCACAGGAGTAATTGTCCCGCTCTGCCAATTTCCCGTGAGTCGTGACATCCGCGAATTGGGCCCCACTCGAAACAGCGTGGGTCTCCCTCCACTCCCATTGAATTTTCAATCCCCGTGCAGGCTCAGCACATTCCCCAGCCAGTATCCAAACCCTCCGCACGCACCCCAACGCGCTGCTCGTCTGGCAACAACGCGCTGCGATTGAAACTTGAAATCCCGGGCGGCGCGTCATATAAAGACGCGCTGCCCGCCCGCCGGTACACGCATGGTGAAACGGTATCATGCTTGCCTTCCATCACGAAGAGTTGAGGCATCTCAGCAAGCGGCAGGGGTTCGACTCCCCTTGCGTGTATCTTCTTGCTGGGTGACTGGTTGCTTTTTCCTGGTCATGTGATGAAATCGTTGATCCGCGAAAACCATCTTGATCAGCAACCACCATGTCGCTCCCAGATTGTCCTCTGGATATCATCCTGGAGCTGGCTAAGAACCTGGACCTCACTGACTCCTTGCATCTGGCTGCTGTACGCCCTCCGCAGCGGCATTCATTGCTGCCACGTAGCTGATCTGCCTGTAGACATGCACGACTTTCGCAGAGATGCGTCACTCGCCGTCCTTTTGGATCGAATCACTCAAGAGGATGGAGACCTTCCATAGGCGACCGCTACCCTGTCCCATTGGCACCGATCTAACCACCTTGCCACTCGACAAGCTCCGAGACATCGCAATCCACGCATACAAACTCAGGAAAGACTGGGCGGCCGAATCGCTGAACCCCGTTCGTGTTGGGAAGTTTGATATGGGTTTTCACGACGCAAACTTTGACGCACAAATTGTTTGGACCCCGAGCATTCTTTGCATTCCAGGGACGGGCATGATCGTCACCATCTCGCCCAACCACTTCACCTGCTGGGATGCCTCGTCTGGCGCAAAGATTGGGGCTTGCTTCTACGGGGACGCTTCCATTGGGTGGTCGGAATGGATTCTCAGTCGCCCTTTTCACATTCCTGGAATGTTCTATCTTGGAATTGCCTCCGAAAGGTCAGCTTACATCATTGCAGGACACAAAAGTGGGCACTGACGGGGCACTTCCTAGCGACGACCATTTCGGCAACCGGGAGCTTAAACTGACTGTGTGCGTTGTGGATTATCGCGATCCGACTTCTGTCAAAACCTCGCAGACATCTTCACGATCTTTTCCCTTCCCCGATCTGTTCGAGGCTGCTCGATGCAGTCGTCGTCAACGAGGACACCATCGGCGCGGTCACGTCCAACTTCGAAGGTTCCTCGTCTCTGATATTTTGCCGTATCAAGGAAGGGGCGCTCCGTCACATAGCGTTCGGAGATTTTAAACAATTCCGGCAACCTCATGGGTTATGCCATCGATGACGATCTGTGTCTTAGTTGGATGGCCCGGCTACCAAATTGCGCAGCTTGTGCGTACCGCAGTCACCCCACGTTCCTCATATCCAGTCGCGATTGTGGACATCTCAAATGCCGAGACCCTGACTCTGCCGCCTGTGCTTTCCAACATCCAACTCCCCACATGCAGGTATGCTGGGTGCACAACTGCTCACGTTGGAAAATCTAGAAAATCTGGACTTTAGTCAAGTTGTCCAGTTCTCACCGGCGGAATGGGACGATCCTGTCCTCAGAGTCGGCACCCCTTTCTGCTATCAGCATTCCTCGCACTTGTCGTGGATGAACCCAGGCTCTTCCCTGTCCTCCGCTCTGATCTGCAGCCACGCCGAGGATTTGGGACTACTGCAGTATACCCACGAGCCATCTCCTCGAGTGGATTTCCGTGCGCTTCCAGTCTCGGATGAGATTCGGCCAGCGGCCCTTCGGATGGATGCATGCGCGCTGGATGATAGGCTGGGAGCTCTTTATGTGGTCAAGAGCGGCGATGAGACCCCTTGCGTGCATGTTCTTTCCTACGCGTAGCGATTCTCGCTCTTCGCATGACATGCTTATTGAAGGGCTCACAAGATCTTTGGGACATTTGTTTGCGTGCATAAGTATTCTCGGTTTTCTTGACAATGTATAGTCGGTACCATTTGAGACGTTGAAGTCCACTGCTTCCTCACCTGCAACATGCTCGTCTTCAAGTCAACTCATTACGGGATAAAGCTTGGTCGGAACCTGGTCAACGAACTGGTATTCAGAGCGACTGGGGTTCGACTCCCCTGCGTGTATCGATTCTGACTCTACTTCAGAGCCTTTTTCTCTCTCAAAACGTAGAGGCTCCCATCGCGGACTTCCATTCGTATGAATCTGAGACTGGGTCACCATTCACTTCTACGAGAAAAGTGTCAAATGTTGTATGTAGCCAGTTGTAAATAAACAGAGATCCCATGCATGTCAAGAAATCCTCCTTTTCATCCTACAATCCGTAATATCCCAGCCGTCTCCACCCGCGGCAGATAGGACCTCAGCAGCGCTTCAAACCTCTCAAACGCATCGGGCGACCCAAAGCTAAACTTGTTGTACCCTCTGAACGTCAACCCGGAGAATCGCGACTCTCCACCTTCGGAACGCAGCAAAAGCTCCTCGAGCGCATGCCACGTCGTAGCCGGCACCTCCAGGAGATCGCGTTGAATCATTCCGTGGTCGATGGTAATGTGCTCCAGTGCGCCGAGGCCTGCGTGGAGGAATTGATTGAGCCAGGCGAGCGATTCGCTCAGGTTGGCGTCTTCCCCGTCTTTGAGATGCAGGGTGCGGAGGTGGGGGAACGAGGTGAGGGAAATTGGATGCGAATCTCCGGTGGCGAGGGTCATCGCTAGAGACGTGATCAGGACTTGAATAATCCAGCAAGAAGGAAGGGACGTACGAGGGTCAAGATGCAGAGTCATTTCCTGTAACTGCGACGCAGCGGCCAATACCAGAGCCGGGCGCTGGTCGGGGAGGTCGTAATCCCCGCGCACATAAACGACGTCGATGGACAACGTGTGCAGCTCATGCAGAAGGCCGCTTGGCACGAGCCAACGTCCAAGTGGCCCTAGGACCTTGCAGTCCCCAGATATGCGCACCGTATGCAGACGCGGACGATTTTGCCCGTCGGCGATCGGCATCTGCAGCCCGTCGGCGTTCCACGTGGCCCAACCTGTCGACTGTGCGTGGATGTCCAATTCAGTGAGATTGGAGCATCCATTCAGCACTCTCGCCCATTCGGGAAGCGCCCAGAACTGATTGAGGATGCGGATGTGGACAGTGGTGACGTGTTGCAGCCCACGCGCGATCAACCCTCTCTGCGCCTCTGAAAGCTGGCGAAATCCAAAAGGGTCAGCATGTGCTGAAAGATGTGTGATATTGGTCAATTGGGCGAGGCTTTCCGGGGGAAGGAGAGCGGATGACGGGAGATCGTTGTTGATCAAGGGAATGTCCAGCCGACGAATGTACATTGCGACATCGGGGGACGGAGCAACTAGTGTGCGGAATGCATAGACGTTGCGCGGTGTGAGGCGCACGGAGAAGAACAGGTGCAGCCGACTCCAGGGAAGGAAGGACTGGGAGATGAGAGCGGAAGCACGCAGACTTGGGAGATCGTCGTGTAGTTCACCGACGATCTTGGCGACCAGCTCCTGCGGAATGTCGGGAATCGAAGACATCGAGAGAGTCAGTTCCGGTCCTCGAGGTCGTGGTGGTTCGAGTCAAAGCAGTGACGGCAACGGAAGGCCGCCGTGATAACCCCATTTTACAGTGGTCCGGAGCCGGTGTGAACCGAAGTATAAGTGGGCAAGAGACGGCACACGCATTTCGCCACGAACGAAAAAAAAGAATTGGAGGCAGAAGTAAACACGAGCGACCGCCCGAATCGAACGAGTGTGCACTGGCGCATTAGTTCTACTAGTTTCAAAGTCACCAAGGTAGAGACCAAGTGGACTAGTTTCAAAGTCACCAAGGTAGAGACCAAGTGGGGACAATTACTTAGTTAGCAAGGAAATGTGCTATATACATGGAGGTTATATCTGACAGAAATAAGAGGAGTCCACTAGCCCCAAGCACCCCACGACAAGCGCAAGGGCAAGTGTCACATATACATTACCAATCTGCGGACTCGGATGCGGTTGAACTTGAAGCCAAGCCGTCTTTTCGGGTGCAACATCCAAGACTATCCCGTCCATCTTTGTTCCAACCTCGGAGACTGGTATAAAATCAACACGACTAGCACTTCTTTGGATTTCCACTTACGATGAGCAATAAATGCACCCTCTGTGCAGGACATCTCGCAGATTGGGTATCCCAATTCCGCGCCCACATCCAACGTATTCGGTTCATACCCCTTGGCAACGTACAGCTGGCGAATTCCCGCATACACCTCGTCGTTCCAGGACCTACCAAGGACTTTCACCTCTAGCTGAATAGTAGGAAAGCCGAGCATCGAGGCATCCTCCGCGGTGAGACGTTCCTCTCCCAAAGGATCGATTGACCAATATGCCAGGTCGGAAGAAGAGGAACACGAGTCATGCGGCAGTTGGGGACAGAGGAAGAGGTAGCCTGCAGGGGGAGGGGAGTCCTCGTCGAGACCCAACAAATGCAGATGATACTCCACGTCGTAGGCCAGGACTGCACCAGGCCATCAAGAGAGAGCGAACCGTCAGCCGAATGAAACTCACAATATTCTCCCATATTCGATTCAACTTCGAGGGCTTCGAGAACGTGACAAGCCTGAGCCAGCCACGGCTCCGAACCGTCATTCAGGTAAAACACACGGCAGTATTTGTCCAGGACTGAAGTGGAATCTACACTGTTTGAATTCGAACGCCTTCAGTAGAATAAGGCACAGAGAGTTTAGAACGCGCACCGAATCCATCCAGGCTCTAAAATGAAAATTCCTTCCCCGATTTCAATGCTGAGGGCTCAAAATCAGATACCATCCATGATCATGAACCACGGAAATAGACTGACGGATTCCAGTGAACTGGAATAATCCGATCCTGTGTGCCCCAGCCCAGATCAACCCCCTTGACATCGGAGAACGACGCAACCTCGAAGGACTGTTGGATTTCTTGTCCTGCGGCGTGAAAGATACACCCCAACTTGACGGACGTATTTGTTGGACAAGTAAACCAAGTATCTTCGGAGAGATACCAGCTACAAACTCGATGATAGGTATCGACCGACATCAAGTTGAGTAATTCATCTTTCGGCGGCGGGTTCTTGAAAGACGTGTTGGGTGGCCGGAAATTGCAGGCGTAATGACCCAGCGTATTATCCCAAGAGTCGGGCAACACAAGGTCGACGGTGACCGTTCCTTTGTCGGGAAGGATCCAAACGCTGTGGTCGCTCCAACTCTGAACCCTGTCATGGTTAGAGTTTGTTTCATCAATACAGTACCCACAACGTGTTTGTCCG